ATGCACAATAACAAAAAAAAATTATACAATGATGCTTATTAGATATTGAAGCAATTTGAAGTATAGAGCAAATGTAAAGCAATAAGTTAGTTGCTAACAAGAAAAAACTAAGATGCAAATATACAAATAATAGTAATGGGGAAGCAAAAACAATATATGCACCACACTTTGTAATGCATATTCACTTGAAAAACAAAATACCATGAGGGAAGCGAGTGAAGCATGACCCTCTAGACATCTTTTATATATTGTGTCAAACGTTAAATGATGAAAACATTAAAATCTAACATTTTTCCAAAAACACATGACACACTACACGTCTTTTGTATATTATGTCAACCCTTGTCTCATTAGATGTGAATGTTTTTTTAATAAGAATAAAATGTTTAGATTCTAGGATGTTTTTGATAATAACTAGAAAGTCTGTCATCTTTTTTGGACCATAATAGCTCCCAAGTCCTATGCATTTTTGTTACCCTAAATTCAGCATGAGATAAACTATTTATCTAATAAATAATTTTTAAATAATTTATTTTTGAATTTTTGAATTTTTATTTAATTCAAAATGACCAAAAAAGACCTCATTTATGCTTTATAGAAGTTTATTGTTTACTGACATTTATCTTATTTGAATGTTTACATACATTATATTTAGCAGCAACCGATGACGTTGATCTTGGGCCACCTTGTCCTTACACGTTGTCATAAAAGTAGCATGATAGATATTCAGAATATTATTGTTTGGAAAGCGTGGTGGGTTGTTTTATTTTCTTTCATGAAGCATTTAACTAACTTTAATATTGTTGAAGCTATATAGCTGTATTATGTTTTGTACTATGTTCCTCTTAAAATAAGTGATATCATCATTATTATATATACAAGCTTTTCTTTAAATTTACATCTTTAATTTAAAAAAAAAAAATCATGAAACGTAAGAAAAAATACTAATTAATACAATTATGTATGTTAAAATTTGTTTATTTTGGCTCCTCTATTACATGCTTTCTAACTTAAAGGAAATCAAACATCTCATTTTAAACAACAACCATAAATTGAAATAATTGTATCATAAAAACCTAAGGACAAAATGAATAACCTAAGGTAATCACAGCCGTAATTCTTTTTTTTTTTTTAGTTTTTTTTTATATAAAACATGTTTAGACATAAGACTTTATATATATTATTTTAACCTTTTGTTATTAATTAAGTTGATTCTAGTGACTATAAATCATTTAAACATAGTTAATAAATCATGTATTTAATAAATATGTGATAAGAATTTTAATTTTCAAATTGAGATATAATCATAAAAGTATTTTATATGTTAATTTAAATTTATATAATGAAATATTATATAATTTTTTAATTTTTAAAAATTTATAAATTTAACTTATATATTAAAAAAATTAATTTAACAGTTAACTCATTAAAATTTAATATAAAATAAACTTATCCAAATATGACATATATTACATGGTAAAAAAAAAAAAAAAAAAAAAAATTCATTTGAAATCTTACGCATATATGACATATCCCACTTTTGGACTCTTTTTCCTCTCATGTACGCGTGCGTAGGCAAAAGTCATTGACACTCACTAATTATCATGGTTCAATACAGTAATCTCTTCTTCTTCAAGACAGTGAATGAATTTGTTTAAAATTTGATGCACAAGTTCCACTTCCCCATCATCTTGCCCTCTACGTCCTCATAATGGATTGTGTCTCAATGTGTCTCCCCAAAGTAAACCAAAAGGTGCCATGCATGGATGGGAACATGGTACAAAATTTATTTTATTATGCAACTGGTCCTTATGCATTAAGGTATTGAATTCGAGTCCTAAATTTGATATAAAAAAAAAAATATATATATATATATATATATATATATATCAAAAGAAATAATTTTAATATAGTCAAGATTTTAAAGAAGATTAGTGTTCGATAAAGTTGAAGAATATTCCCACCAATACTATAGTAAAGAAAAATAAAGAAGAAATTTATTCATCAAACTTTATATTAATCATTATTAAAAAAAATTCAAGTCTCATATTGACTAAAGATAAAATAATTAAAAAATATATAAGTGAAGAATAGTCCTTATCTTAAAACATACACTATGGACGTGAGGGGGTATATTGAAAAAAACTTAAGTTACACTAATTCTAGATTATTAAAAATGGTTACCCACCATTGATCCACGTATCAAACCCAATAGTGTTGGACGTGAAGAAGTGTATTGGAAGAAATTAAAGTCTCACATCAACTAGAAATAAGACAATTAAAAAGTATATAAGTGGAGAGCAACCTCATCTTATAAACCAATTTTGTAGAGTTGAGTTACACGCAAATCTACTATTCAAAGAATCATTTCTTCCTCGTGCTATGTATATATTGATTGATACTTTTCTTTCCTAAGAACTATTAATACACAAAAAGCTTAATTTAGAGTTAAGACACGTTAGAACATCCACTTATATACATCATGTAATTTCGACAAAAATGATATATATAATCCAAAAATCTCACCAATATATCGGCAATTGAATTAGTTAACAATTTTTCGCTTAAAGTAAAAAACACTGCATTGTTATCCAATAACTGTAAGTAGGTTAATAGTTGGTATCCAAGTATTCAATATTTTGTTATAAACAACAAATATCTTTCAAAGAACGTAATATCCAGTTTTATGTACAAAAAAAAACATAATTAGAAAGAAAAGTTCTACCAAAAATGATCATACAAATTTTTCTTTAGAAAGTACTCATCGACAAAATCAATAAATAAAAATAATATTTTGTCCAAGAGTAAGATAGAATTAATATAAGATGAAAAAATTCTTTCAAATATTTAACACATTATATATCCATAATTCAATTTTTTTTCCATCCATATGAATTATAAAAACGGTAACAAAACTTAAGATACATAACATATATTTTCAACACTACCACTAGACCAACCTAATAATTATACCCGTAATTCAAATTTGAAATTGCTAGTTAAACGAAAGAACCAAACGTTATTGATTAACACTCTGGGATGTGTATCCAACTATTCTGCATCATCTATATATTCATGTTATTTACTGTTTTACATGTAGACATAATCATCTCTGTATATGGTGGCGTGAACGTGAATCAATAAGCTACATCAAACATTATTTCAGATGATTAAAGTGTGCATTTTTTTATTCTTGTTTGAATTAGAGCGCAGTAGAAACAGTTCAGAAGTTGGAACATGACATGATTGCCATTCAAATGTTGGCATTTGAAAAAGGTTTCAAGTTGGTGTTGCTTTTAAGGACATGTTGTGATGCGCTTTGATGATGTCCAAAAGAAGCCTATTTGATAAGGTTCTGTCACAGACCTACAACTATTTTTTTAAGCAATCAAAAAAAATTTTACTTCACGTCCAAGCTTTAATTATTAAATTTACTAGCACGAACTGGTAAACAATTACTATCTTCAAGTGCATGCTAGAGTTCTTCACTCCCCTTGCTGAGAAAAAAATATATATATACATATATTAGTCTTGTGTTTAAAAGTGTCGATAAAGCAAGGTGGTGCTTTTTCACTTTACTTTTAGTTTATTCTAAATCTCAAGTTTGGTTTCATACGGAAAGAGTAAAAGCAAAAGCAAGTTGTACAACGTTTTTCGACCAAAAGATAGTTGGCTATAAAATTTTGACATTTTTTCAAACATCATATTGCTTCTAATAGTTAACAAAAACTTGAGATGTTCAATAGATTAGTATGGACTTTTAATAAAAGGGGAATATGAAAAGATATCTTATTAACATTTCTCTTCATTCAAAGTATTTTTTAATTGAATTCTTTTATATTCAAGAGAAAATGACATTTACTAACAAACAAAAAAAAATGAAGCATTGAAGTTGTTTCATTTATAATTTTTGTTTAACAAAAATTAAACCATTAATATAAATATTGTAAATCTATACCAATAAATCGATACGTAATATTAACACTTAACGAAATAATAATGAATATTGATGTTATACTTATATCAACAAAAATATCTAGCAATGTAATATATCATATTATTAGTATAAATTCAAATTTTGAATACTAATAAATTAATTTTTTTAAAAGTAAAATGCCACGCTAATAGAAACTAAACCAATGACAAAGTATTAATAAGTGACACGTTTTAGAAACCTTTTGATTATTTTTAATATAATCAAGAGATATAAATCAAATTAAGAAACCGAACACTAAATTATTTATATTAATAATTTTTAGTAATAATTTTTTAATTTTAACATTATATATTGAATTGTTTTAATATGGTCTCCATTGTATTCCGCTCTACAATTGCAATACAAAGAGAGATTTGGATAAATATATGATTATTATAAGAACAAAAAGAAAATATAGTTATAAGTTACATTAATTTTTAATATTTATAATTATTACATGGGAAGAGTTAAATCATTTTTTGTTTTTATATAAATCAATAAATCATGTATATTCTTTATTAGAAATTTTATTTAAATATTTGATTAACAAAAGTCACGTTTTAAGTGCATATTAATTTTTAATTATCATTTTTAAAATATTGTATGGACAATATTCATGGACAAAAAATAAACCTTACATGAATTAAATAAAATTATTATGAATAACAAACTTTCTTCTTTAAATATTTAATAAAATTGTGTACTTAATATTTAAATTCCAAATTGCTAATTAAATATCAAACAACACTGAGCATCAACTTAATATTCCCAAAATCGATTCCCATTATTCTTAAAATAATATTTGACTATAAAAAATCACACCTCACAATTATAAATTTATCTTAAATTGTTAATTTTAAAACACTACTTATATGGATGATTTTCGTGAAATAAAAATAAAATAAAACAACCTTGAAGAAGTATTCCGCACGCATGATAATATAATAAAATGAAAACAATTATGTGCAAAAAGACTAACATATTTGTATTTAGAATATAAACCAAAAAAATATTTTGTCTCTATTTTGTCTATCTCGTCTTCCATAGTCAAGTCTCAAAACATAATTCTCTTTTACCTCTACAGAGTTTGCCCCTCTAAACTCAGGACCATGTATTTTGGATGAACCATCCTTTCACGTCAGAAAAAGTTCAATGTCATTTAGCAGTGTACGATACTAGGTGGGGTTAACATGAATAACGCACAACTTGTCCTAGCACGAGGAAACCATCCATAATAAAATTGCAATAACTACTTTGATATATGTCATATCATATGATATATCCTTGTTTGTATCAGCCATCTAGCTGGTGAAGAAAAATCCAGTAATACAACATGAGATGAACAAAATGTAAGAGACCAAAAAATAAGTAAATTTCAATTTTTTTCAACAACTTGAAAACAAACAAAAGTTGGGAGATATTGACTGAACAATATTCTTTGCATGTATAGCTTTTATAACCGGATTGTACTTCACCAGGTACTGCAATATATGCTGTTTCTCAAACACTGCAACAAAACTCATTCTAATTCCTCATGTCCTTCTGAAGGGCATTGGATTAACTCTAATATGTTGACTACCTCAGCCATATCTGGACGGTTTGACGGCACTTGTGATGCACAAATCAACCCCAATTTTATCACAGGAATTGCTTCCTCTGCAGCAAAATTACCAAGGAGCCTCCTATCAACACATTGCTCCACCTTCCCTTCCTCCAATGCACCCCTCACCATGTCACAAAGAACCACAACATCATCCTCCATGTACTCCACAGGTCTTTTTCCCGTCACCACCTCCAGCACCAGGATCCCGAAACCATACACGTCACATTTCTCGGTTATCTTAACCGTCCGGCATGCGAACTCTGGCGCCATGTATCCGAGTGCACTTTGAATTTTGCTGCTCAAAACACAATGGTCTAGCATTGGCAGTAGTTTCACCAAGCCAAAATCTCCTACCTTTGGCTCACCAGAACAATCAATCAGAACATTGGTTGATTTGAGGTTGTAGTGGATGGTGTTCATTTGGTGCAGATGGGCCAACCCTTTTGCCATGCCTAGAATAATCTTGAACCTTTGTGGCCAAGAGAAGGCAGTTTTGCTGTTATCATCATGCAGAAGTTTATGCAAACTCCCTCTGGATAGGAACTCATAAATAAGGAGCTGCATGGATGAAGTCCAATAATAACCTTCAAGTGCCACAAGATTTGGATGCCTGATTTTCCCAAGCTTTTTAACTTCTTTCTCAAAGTCTTCTTGAGACTTAATCAAACTGGGGAATGTGAGCTTCTTGATTGCAACAGCATGCCCATCGCGAAGGAAAGTGCGATAAACAACTCCAAATCCACCACGGCCTATTTCACTTTCTTTATTGAGTAGATTATGGGCTCCATCAGAAAAATCTGTATCACCAGAAAATGTGACAAGCTTGCCATAGTTTGGATCATTTGCTGGCGAACCGCTATAGTCCTCGCCACCAGAAAATGCAAATGGAGCAGGTGTGCGTGCCATTGAGGAACGCACATGGATATTAAGGACAGTGATAGCCACCACACCAATGACAATAAAAGCAGCTGCTCCAATAGCAATAAAGGCAGAGATACTTAGTATGGTCTTATGACTATGGCGCTGTGAGGAAATGCTGGAGTTCGAACCAGAAGAATTGGGGTTTAAGACAATTGGTTTGGGATGAACAGATGGACAGGAATGGTTGACAACCGAACCGCACAACATCGGGTTACCAGAGACTGATGCAGAGGAGATGGTGTTGAAGAAGCCTCCCACAGGTAGTTCACCTTCAAGGTGGTTGAAGGATACATTAAATGAGAAAAGATGAGAAAGATTTGTCAACTCCTTGGGTAAACTTCCAGAGAAATCATTCCATGACAAATCTACATACTGAAGATTGGTGAGGTTTGCAATGGCTGCAGGGATTGAACCAGTAAGCTTGTTGTGAGAAAGAATCCTGTACAGTTCAATTGAAATGCACAAACAGAAAATAATTAGAACAAAAAGATGCACACTTAAATTTCCAGGGATCTCAATTTTCAACATTATATTTAACAAAAGCACACACACATAAAAGAAGGCCATTTTAATTTGTAAACACAAATCAGTCAGATTAAGTGATAAAGAACAAAGCATGAAAGATGGGCAATTTGATATTAGAGAACTTACAAAAATGTTAGAGATGAACACTTGTCAATTTGGGCTGGAATTCTCCCACCTAGAAAGTTCTTCTGCAGCCTTAGTTCACTGAGTGAAATCGCCCCTTCTATTTCAGAAGGAATGCTTCCATTAAGCTTGTTGTCACTAAGATCAATAATGTACAAAGACTTAAGTTCTCCTATACCAATAGGAATAGAACCAGAGATATTGTTGGTGGAAATATTCAAGACTTGCAGGCTACTAAGTCCCCCAATGCCAGATGGAATCTCACCAGAAAAAGCATTGGATGATAAATCCAAAACCTCGAGACCATGATACGAAGCAGGTGTGGACTTAAGTGCAGGATAATTGCCCTTGCTAAAGACATTCCCAGAAAGAGAGATACTTTGCACACCCATCCTGAAAATCCATGAAGGAACATGACCTGTCAAGTGATTGTGGCTGATGTCAAGAGCCACAAGCTTAGTGCAGTTCACCATTGAATCAGGCAAGTTTCCTGCCAAATGATTCCTCGACAAATTCAACCTATGCAAAGAGTCCAGATTTCCCAATGACTTTGGAATCCAACCAGAGAACGCATTGAGAGAAAGATCCAACACCTCCAGATTCTTCAATTCACCAATCCAGTCAGGAACCACTCCAGTGAATGAATTCCCCTGCAAACTAAGTGATGTACATGAATTGAGTCTTTGCATTGACTGAGGAAGCTCCCCAGAGAGAAAATTATCACTCAAGTCAAGTGATTTCATAAGTATGCAACCTCCAATGTCCCCAGGAAGCCTTCCACTAAACCTGTTTCTTTGAAGACTCAACTCCCTCATATCATAAAGATTCTGAATTCCTTCAGGAATCTCTCCCTCAAGAGAGTTATCAGACAGATCAAGGGACTGCAGCCCCCTCAAGAACCACACTCCATTAGGCAATTCCCCATGGAGATGGTTAGAGGAGAAGTTCACAGTTGCCAAATTGGAGCATGAACTCAAGGACTCGGGAATCTTACCTGTGAGGTTGTTCTTGGCAAAGGAAACTGACCTAAGAGAGCCACATTGTTGGAAGAACCCTTCTGGGATCTCCCCAGAGAGGTTGTTGTCACTCAAGTCCACAACCTGCAAACTCCCTAGGCGAGGAAGATCAGGGTTTATAAGCCCTGTGAAGTTGTTCCGTGAAAGTGAGAGAATTTGAAGAGACTGCAACCTCAATAAGCCCCTATCAACATGCCCAGAAAGAGAGAAACCATCAAGAACAAGAGCAGTGACCCTATTGGATGCAGGATCACACTTCACGCCTTCCCAGTTGCAAGGACTGCTATCATCTTCATTCCATGAAGAGAGTTTCCTTTTAGGGTCCTCCAAACCAGCCTTGAAAACAATCAACCCCAACACATCATCGTTGAAACCAGGGTCCACAGAAAACACCAACATAACCGGTGCAAGGAGAATCAGAAACAAAACACACAAGCTGAATTGCATCATGTTTTAGATTGGTGTTATGAAGAGAAGCGTTCAAATCAAATTTCAACAAAATTCTATCCCTTGACAAGAACAACACTAATATCATTTGGTTGCATATACTGTAGAAAGGGTTGGTAGGTCCTCACAAAGCACAACATAAGCACCACCAAACCAAACTACACAAACAGAAGGGGAAATTTCTTCTCAGCACGAGGCACAGTAAGCCAAGAAAAAGACACGCAATGGAAACAGAAGTTGCAAGTATCCCAATCTCAGTGAATATAAACAAAAAGAGAGGATTAGAAAGAAACAAAAGGGGGGGAAAAGAAAAATAAATTAATTAATTAAAAGGATTAGACAAAAGAGAAAAACAAATTAAAGCAACTTCAGCAAATTCCCTTTTAGCCTTTTTAATTTCCTATTCAGAGTTTCGGAATCACTCTACTCAAGAAGATTTCACTCACAGAACAGGAATGTGTGCCCACTTAGAAGTTAGAGCAATGAAGATAAAGGGTGGAAGGAACATATTAAAAATTTGATTTTTTTTTTTTTTTTGTGGGTATGGAATGAAATTTGAAAAAGAAGGAAAATTTGATGCTCCCAGGGAAAACGGCGAAAGGGACGCAGGGCTATAAAGAAAGCCTCGAGTTGAGAGAAACTATTAATGGAAGAGGGAGAGAAACAGAGTGAAGAGAGTGTGTGTGAGAGAAAAGCATAAATAATACTAGTGTGTTCTATTCCAAGTCTTCTATGTCTTCTGGGTAGTGTCAGAGAGAGTAAAGTGAAGCATTTAAAGCTTCCAACGTCAAAGACAGACAGAGAGAGAGTGTGTGCTTGTATGTGCCATGTGTGTGCAGCAGAGAAGCTTTATTTATGGTATGATGTTTTCTTTTTTTTAATGAACATAATTTACTCTATTTCAAAATAGTTCATCAAAAACTAATTTGTACTTATAAATAAAATTTTAATTAATTAAATATTATTTTAATAAAAAAAATTAAATTTGGAGTACCCCGTCTACTATCATATGATTCATATCCCAAATTTTATGGTATGCTACTGTATTCTTGAATTCTAGTACTTATGATAAAATTAAAAATACTAAATGCAAATAATAATAACGCAAATGCATAGTTGAAATAATAAATATTATATTAAATAACTCATACTATAAATATTTAAACAATCAAATAATTTAATGACAATTTCATATATTAATAGTTAAATTAATAATTTTTGTTTAATTGTTTTAAAAGATTAATTAACACTATTAGACTATTAGACAAGTAAATTTTGTTGATCACATATTATTTTAATATATATAAAAATATAATTTAATATTATCATGTCGATATCGTATTTTAAAATAAATTTTATAATTATTAAACAAAAAAATTTAGTTTAGTTTTTTTATTTGATGTTTGAATATCCAATTACCTTAAATATTAAAAAAAAACTTTGTCACATAGTAATTTTACCTAATTATCTAGTGTAAAAGATATAATTTTTTAGAAAAAGAAAAAAGAAATTGAAAATTCTTCCCTATCAATTTAGGTGAGCTGAACTTCATTGGAGATCAAACCAATACCCAATGTGATCTAGGTGGCTTTTCTGGTAAAAAGAATTGGCCTTTTGACTGTGATTTAAGATAATTTTTAAATTTATTAAAAATGTTTACTAATTTGATGTGGTTTTTATCTTTGAATAGATAATTGTGTTATGCTATTGTTCATCCGTTTTATTATGTTGACGTTTTAACCTTTTCATTTTGTTTCAAAGTTATTAATGTTCTAGAAATTTAATAAGCAGTTACTGTAATTAGTATTCTTTTTTTTAAAAAAAAATTTGTTTAAAATAAAAGTAATTGACGTTGTCTTGAACTATTGATAACATTTTATTTGTATAAAATTAATATAGGACAGTATTTGTAACTATTTAGAGGAGCCTTTAGGTTGTTCAAACAACATGGTGTATGAATAAAACAAAACTAAAATAATGGTGCAAGTTTTGTTTCATGGTGGAATCATACATTTTAATCGAATCAAATTTGATTCAAATATATGATGTTTGGTTTTCAGAATAAAAATATTTTCAATTGAACTTTTAATTCACAGTAATTTTGAACTTTTAATTGTATTTTTTTTTCTTTCTAAATTACTCCTTCACATTATCCACTAAAATGTGTTCTATTTATACATTGTTTGTCTATTAATTTTTTTTATGAATATTAGTAACCAAAATGTTATTCACCTTTGATTAAGAGATTACTTTATAATTAACATGTATTGTTTGATTAAAAGATTATTTTATTATTTACTGTAGAGATAACATGCACAGTTAGTTTGACTGTTTGACTAGTGATAATGTTAAATAGTTTTCATATTTATTTATTATTTAATTTTCTTTTAAAGTAATTTTTTTTTAAACTTAACATCTTTTTAAAACTAATATTTTTATTTATAATTTAGACATATTTTTATTTGATGTTTTAACTAATTTAATATTTTTATTATTTGTTTCATTCAAATATCATGCTTTTACAAAAGTTATGAGTTTTGTTTCAAAAATTATCATATCATCCATATTTTTTTTTTAATTTTATTATTAACATGAAGTGAAAGAATTACAACATGCTTATTTATTCTTAAATCACTACTTCCTTCGATTATAAATATAAGGAAAAAATCACATACAGTAATTTTAAACATAGATAAAACTTAAGTAATTTCACATTATTTAATTATATCATCTTCAAAATATCTCTTTATTTAATTGATATTTTACTTTCAATAGTTCTTTTTTATTTTTTATATCAATTTCTAATAAAAAGTAATTTTATAAAAATATATTATTTAAAAATAATGTAACTATAATAAATTCTACAAAATTACATCATATAAAATCAATTTTATCCACACATATCTAACTATATACTTAAAACTGTTTCAATTTAAAATTAATTTTGAATCAACAATTAATTTATCATCATAAAACTTAATGCATAAATATTTGTCTGAAAATCTATACCTTTTGTCTCATAATATGTGTTTTGTAAAAAGAAAAAATAAATCACAAAATAAGAGGAAAAAAAATCATACATCGTGTTATTTTAATTTTAATCTAATATAATTAATTTTTTTTTTATGTATATACTAATAGAAAGTTGTTACTTGTTATTGTATTACATTATTTCCATAAGTAAAAAAATATAGTTAATTTTATAAAATTATTCTTCTTCTATTTATTAGTTTTTGAACCAGTAATTAATTAATCATCATAAACCCTAATCCCTAATGCATAAATATCTACCTAAAATTGTATTAAAATCAATATTTCATTATAGTAACTTGAAACCATCTAATATCTAATGGAAGCCAAACACGTTGTACAATTGCTTCTTCCTTGATGTTGAGCTTTGATTGTGGAACATCCTTACATGCATTTCTCATTGGAAATTGGTCTGATATTCATAAAATAGTTACTAATGTGGTTAAATTCATGTTCTTTTGTCGGGATCTTCACACAACAAAAATATAAAATATGATGTCTTCTGCTTAATTCATCTGTTGCACACTCCAAACTCAGTACACTTTTCTCTTTCTTCAGTGGCTTTTTCTTACCACATAAGTGAAACTATTGAAATTGTAATAATCATTCAAATCAGTTATTGAAATTAAATAAAATGTTTTTCCCTCAATAAATTAAATTAATCTTTTTACATATATGTGAGATCTCTCCTAATAAATTAAACTCAAGAGTTGCTTTGCTTGTTTAAAAGTCAGAAAACTAATTCTCATACTATTTTAATAAACAAACACGCCTTTCAACATCAATATATAATTAAAATTAATAACTTACATGTATATATACCTGATTTCTAATGAAATTTGAGAACGAAAAGATCATTATCAAACCAAGTTGTACAGCACAATGTCATTTTTAACCATTCATAATATCAAATATATACAATCATACAAGATTAATCTGAAAGCATGTTTCTTTAATGATTATCGCAATATCAACATTTTTTTATTATTTTTTTAGAAAACTGTATATTACTCTTAGAATTCCCACCCATTATCTTGAGTCATTATATTGTAGTATTATTTGATAAGGAAATCACATTTTATTATGATTATATAGTTTGTGTTTATTAAATTTTCTTTATCTAAGAAAATGAATCCAAGCGTGACATAATTGCGGTTGAATGGTGGTAGTACAAGTATTCATAATTTGATAGAATATAATAAAATAAAAGATGGCCCCTCACATGCTGATTTGTGCAGTGTAATTGAAAATTGATAAGTTAGATGAAAGCACATTGATGCCTCGTGGAAACAATCTATTGCCAAAGGAGACATCAAAGAATAAAAAAGAACCAACCAAATGATGTTTCCACCTCGCTTGCTTGCTGCAATCACCCCCTTTCTCTACTATTCCTTTTTAATTTGTCTTTGACTTTTAAATAGTAATAGTCTCTACTAAACTCGAAATAAATTAAATAATTCTTTTTTTTAAAATTTTTCTTTAAATTTAACTTAATCATATAAAACTAATCTATAATCTGATGATTGAATAATTACAGGTTATGTTTAAAAAAATTTATTTATTAAAAATATAATGATGGCTTTATAGTTCAAATCTAAAATCTAAGATGATATGCATATTACCTTAACTCTTTCATGTGATAAACTTAATGTCATTTATTATGATGAAGTATAGTATAAGGTAGGGGATTCACTTACTCAAATAATAAGATTTTGTGGACTTACTATACTTAATAACTCATGTTTTACATCAAATTTTAATGATCTAACTATTAAATGAAAAGTTCTTAAAGCGTATATAAATCGAGTATATAATTTAAAAAAATAATAATAATAATTTGATATTTTATTTCATTAATTTAAATTGACAGATAATCATAAAAATATTTTATACATTGATTTGAATTTATATAATGGAAATATCATATAATTTTCAAATTTCTTAAAAATTTGTTTACTTGATTTATATATTAAAAACTTTAAATTTAACGATTAGATTGTGAAAATTATATTTACATGATGCATTATCGAGTAGAGTAAGTCTATCGAGCCTTACTCTTGAAATAAGTTGATTTCTCCTTATAATATTATCATAGAATTTGAGTTTGGCTCTAATTGTAAATATGTCAAATGAGTTTGGTCAACTTGGCTCAATCTGAATTTCTCACATGTCATTTATTTTGTGGCTTAACCTGACCTATTGGACGCTAAATTAACCCATTTTATTTTTAATTTTATTTAAATTTTGTAAAAAAAAATAAAAAAAGTATCAAATCAAATGGGTTTAATAGCTTTCAAGTTTAAAAATTATTAGTCTAACTTGACATGATTGGCAAGTCAGATCAAGCCAAATTGATCTAATTTTTTTTCAGATTATTTTTTTGAAGCACAACCTATCAAATTTAATCATTTTTTACATTTTTATCTTAACTCAATCTAATAAAATTAACTTATATTTTTAATATACATACTGACTATTTTGTCCATATCAATAATAAATGTGATATTTTTTGACAAAATTGACATGAGTATAATTAGTTGCATTAACAAATTTTTGTATGAATATAAAATTGAATTGTGATAGAAATACGTCACATATGATGCTTAGATTGGTGAAACATATTTGTCAATATTACACCATATAAGCAGCCATACGTGTCTCAATCAAACCACTTTTAGGAAAATTTCAATCCATGAAGGTAACACAAACACTAGAGTCAGCCATCTTCTTTTGGTGATTTTTGTTTTGTAATGTTTGTCTTCAAGCTTCATGGTTCAAACATG